TCTATCTGTCTTATCTGTCTATCTATCTATCTATCTATCTATCTATCTATCTATCTATCTATCTATCATCACTTTCCTTAATCCCTTTTCAGCCCATGTTCGAAATCCTGGATTGCTCCTCCCTGGTTTGAAATTGGCATTACCCCAAATAGGACTAAAACGTGACCAAGACGGATTGATGTTCAAATATTTTACTTTTATAAGTGTCCAAATGTCAATCATATTTAATACAATAGGGTTGTCTGTATTTTTCTTCAGACTTTTTCGATCCGCTGAGTACAAAAACAAGTGAAGTGGTAAGCTAGGCCTCACCAAGCAGGATTCCAAGTCTATCCAGGCAGGGGCGTTTTCAGAAGAGAAGTACAACATGATGGACAGCAGTTGAGCTGCCCAGTAGTACCACTGGATGTTTGGGCACTGAAGGCCTCCTCGGTCGTATGGTAGATATATTAAGGATAAGTGTAATCTTGGACGTTTATTTTGCCAAATAAAGTTGGTAAAACAATTTTCTAGTTCAAGTAAACAAGGAAGAGGGAGGGGGTAGGGCGATATTTTGGAATAAATAAAGGTATTTAGGAAGGATGTTCATTTTTAGGATCAGAAAAGCTTTTTTGTGGTTTCAGAGACAGTGTGATCAAGCAGGACATTTTCTACTAATGTCTGTCGCTGACTGGCCATTAAACAATTAAATTTGTAAAATAAATTGACAAAAAATTCCCCAAAAACCAACCAGCGATGGGCTGATAGCTGATATATTCGTCCAATAGCCCAACCGTAAATTCCCATCTGCTTCAGTTGTACTTTGTGTTTAGTACTAACGTCAACCAGTCATTTCAGGAAGTTGTGATGGCAAAAATTCACAAAAGTTCTAACAATCCCTGTGAATTCTGCGCAACCTTGCAATCTTATCCAAATGCTGCAACTTTTTCAAATTTGACATTGTAGTTTCCTGCGAGTTCCACCGTTCATAGCAGTCTCTCACGCAAAACGTTGGGCCATACGTCACCAAACAACTGGAGAGTTCATTCTTACTGGAACAAGTTACCATAGGGTTTTAATGAATTATACAAAAAAGTATAAATATAAAGTATTTTTGCAGTCTTTCACATTCTTTAATTTTATTGTAAACAATGCCTAAAACATTGCAACATGCATCTCAATGAATTTTTTTAACACTGCCATAAAATCAGGCATTTTAGGCCGCACAATCCCCCCAAAACTGAACACAGTAAACATCATATCTGCTAAACATTAACATGCTAGCATTGTCTGTGTAAAAATGCTTATAGAGCACTGTCCTTTACATGATACATTAGGTAACTAACAACCACTACAGTCCATTTTGTGAGGGTGTAAGAGAGCAGCTCTACCAAATAACTCAGGATATGTGTCAATGGATTCTCTGAAATCAGAGCCAGTCCCTGTGAGGTGCTGACCTGGTTTCAAGACCCGAAGGTATTTACACAGCTATAGTTACTCTCTAAATGTGTGACTTTGGTTCACATAGGCATTTCATTTTATGGCAAGCTGGCTTGTGTTCTCATGAGTTCTTTTTGTATCATTCATTTTGTGTCATTAATTTATCCATCTGTGTTATAAGCAAATCGGATATTTTGTCTTTGATGTAGCTCTTCCGTACTCGAGTCAGCCACCATACGCATGTACAGAATGTGCAATACATGGATCCAAAGTGTATAGAAGACATATCCAATAATATATAATATATCTGTATAACATATATACTATATCTTTCTGGAGGTGAAGTACAGTAAGAGTAATGACAGCCTGTACAACTGAATAACTCATTTGGTGGGTGGGATTCACTGCAGATTGTTTCAGTTCTGTCTCCCTCCCAACCAAAACACCCTACAGACATAGAGGCTCATCTAAAGGGAGAGATTGATTATGGATAGTCTGTGATGGGTCAGCAAATGGCACAGTGGCAATGGGAGTGGGTAAAGCCAATGAACCAGTTACAAAGACAGAGAAAGAGGTGCTGCTTGAATGATGCAGCACAGTATGCAGCATTAACCAGGATGGAAGTCCTCCATTATGCAGCTGTCTCACTGCTAACTTTCATTTGGCCTTCAGCCACTGTTAGAGCCAGGGGCTCACTGATAAATGAAAAGACAACCACAGAAGTTTCCATGCTGTTCCTTTGAAGCTGGTACAAAAATAAATTCATTTTAAATAGGGACATCTACAGTAATTGCTGCATTTCTGTGACTGTTGTTCCCATTGGAGTCACATTGTATTATTGTTTCATCTGAGAGCGCTTTTACATATGGTAAATGGACCTGTACT